GACACTACAGCGAAACCCACGGTGCAGAGTCCGTGCTCCCAGGCTGCTGCTTGGGGACGTGCAGCGCGCGGGTGACAAAACCCCTCATCTGCCCTGGGGACACCCGTGTGACGCGTCTCACGGGCCGGGCCGACCAAGAGAGCAATAAGGAGGAGGAAGTTGTTGTGTTCTTTCTTTTTTTAATCTGAATGAGAAAGCTGCAAATATTTTTACAGCTGACTAAAGGCATTGAGTGTCCTCAGCTCATTCCTGTGCATCGAAAATAAGCCATATCTGGGTTTTAAGCAACTTTTTTTACCCTGCAGTGTTCCTTCTTAAAGACTGCAAAGAAAAACACTTCAATGGCAAGGGCACATGCTTAAAAACCTTTGCTTAAAAGACCAATGTATTTCCGAAATGTCTTAATTTATTTCACAGCATTTCCACGAGACCTGTGCAGGGTGCAAAGGGAAACCGAATGCGGAGCACCGGGTCTGATGACCAGGCCATGTACGAGGTTCTGCATTCAATTCCCTTTGCCCCTATCAGGTTGAATGTTCTGCTTCCCTTTGGAGCTGCTCTTAATCTGCAGAGTAAAATATCCACGAGTATGTGTATATATGTACATATATACATATATATTTATATATATGGCCTTACAGGTATAGAGAGAGATGCAATATGTGATTTCAATCACTCACTTTGGAGAATATTTTAATAAAGACAACTTTTGGGAAGAAGGGCAGCTCCTCGGCGTCAGCGTCGCTATTCCGTGGACGAGCGTGGCCAGCGAGTGCCTCCTGCCTCCTCGCTCCATCCGTGGGCGACGGAGCCGGCGCGGGGTGGGAGAGCATCAGCCGGGCAGGAGCGGCAGGGACGAGCCAGGGGTTTGTGCCAGGGGCATCAGGGACGAGCTGGGGTTTGGTGCCGTTCTGCCCCTGCAGCCCCACTGCTTCCCATGCTGCTCCCCTTTTCCGTTTTACATTTTCCAACCTCGGAGCACCGTGAGTTGAGACAGTGCAGTGTGTTCCTTAGGGGCGATGCGGTTTGGCTTCAGCTGCCGTTACAAGGTCTCCTCCGACCTCTCTGTGTACAGGGAGGTGACGGTCCCATCCTTCCACTGAACCTGCACCTCTCCCGACCTCTCCTCCTCGGGCAGCAGCTCCTGCCTCTGCGGATCGGCGTGGCCGAAACCCTGCACGGGCACCAGGGCTTGCTTGGCCTCCAGCTCCGCCTGCTGCGCCGTGTGCTCCGATTCCACCTGCATCTTCCTTTTCCTGCACAGAACAGGGGTGAGGAGGGAAGCAGCAGGCCTAGCCTGTGCCAGAGCAGGGGGACAGTCACCTCTGCAGGGCCCTGGGGAGCTGGGGAAGCTCTCGCCATGGGAGGCTTCGAGGGGAGCCTGTCCTTGCTCCTCTCGCTGCCCCGCAGGGCTCGTTCCTGCCCCTGCGTCTTGGTGACGCGTCCGCCGTCCTCCCCGGCCACGGGACGTTCTCCGGCCTCACCTGTTGCGCATGACGTTGATGGCCAGGAGGAAAAGACCCAGGACCAGGACCACGAAGGAGAGGGCCAGCATGGTGTAATTCCACGTGGATGCTGCGGGAAAGCAAGGACCCGTGGTGTTGGCGTGCGCGGAGCAGCGGAGCACAGCCCAGCACTGCCGGGTGTTTTCAGGTCACCGTTTTGGGAATAACCCACGGTAACGCTCCCTCATGGGGCAGGAGACTCACACAGGCGATTTTTACCTTCCCCAGTCCCCCCAGCTTGGGGTCTCTTGTCTCTCCCAATGGCTACATCTGCCTTTCCAACCCTGCCCGTGCTCTCAGGGTGCTGCTGGAGGGCTGGAGGCCACAGCTCCCCTCCATGGATGCTGCTGGAAGGGCCTCCCCATCCCACAGCCCTTCCCCTTCCCGCATGCAGGCAGGTGGGATGCGGCACGGATGGCAGAGGCTGCTCCGGCCTTGGTTTCCTTGGCTTTGAAGTTCACCCTGGGGACCCTGACCAGCTCGTATTGATCGGCTCCCTCTTGCCAAAATCACCAGTGATCCCAGGGCTCTGCTGTGTGCTCTTGGCAGGATGTCCCTGGAAAGAGGATGAACTCCTCTCCAGGAGAAGACCCCATCCCTGCAGAGTCTCACTCCCATCTTTCCTCATGCTTTTCCAGGAGGTAAAAGCAAGACTCCATACAATCACTTCTGCCTCCCGGCCTAATTCCCTAGGGCAGCCACCTCGGGCAAGTGGCACGACCCGGACTCTCCTCTCCAGCTCCCAACCCGGCAGCACCAAGGGGACTTACGGTCTTCCGTGCGGAAGAACCACAGCAGCTCCTCCAGCTGCCCTGGGGGCAGACCCGGCACCCCGCTAGCGTTGCGTGCGGGAGGCTCCCGCGTGCGTGTGCTGGCGAGGGCAGCGGGGGCGCGTCTGCTGCGCTCTGCCTTGGCTGCAGAGAGGGACACAAAGACACGGCGGGTTTTCATTGCAATCTTCAAGATATCTGCTGCAATTCTTCCAAGAAAACAACCTTCTCATCTCCCAGGGCCACCCATCCACCAGGTAGAGTGAAGCTCACCGGGCTCAGCCGTGTGTCATGCAGTGAGAAGTGGAGAGAGTTTGTGGATGTGTTTAGGGGTTGGAAGGACCCAGGGCGCTGCCGGTGTGTGAGCAGCACTTACCTTCCTTCTCCTCGCACACGCTCCTCTCCGCAGCCCCTTGCCACTGGGCCTTGGGGCCCCTGGTGTCGGCCAGGCTCACCCCGCTCCTGCTTGCCACCAGGTAGCCCTGGCTGCTGCCCAGAGGGGAGAGCAGCGAATCCGAGCAGTCCCAGCCCGCGCGGCCGCAGACGCTGCTCTGCACCCTGCCCTCCTCCTGCACGGATAGGCACTCCATGGTGCCCAGGTTCACCAAGGAGTCGCCTCGCCAAGACCATTCCTGGAAAGCTGAGGCCGGATTACAGCCCTCCAGCAGCAAACTGCCATCCGTCGGGTTGGCTTGTAAACACAGCTTGGATTTGGCGTTTTTCATCAGGAAAGTTTCAGTGTCTGCAAAGAAACCAGAGGATGAGTGTGGCTACCCCGTAAGCACTGGGCATCACCGTATCCCAGCCCCGCACTGCCTGGCCCCCTTCCTGCCATTCCTGGCTGGGGGAAGACTCTCCAGGGTTGGCCTAAGAAGCAGAGGGTGTTCAGACCCCTTGGGATCCCCCTCCATCCCTTGTAGGCTGCTGTGTGGCCTCTTGGAGTAGAGATAATCCCTGCAAGTCAAAACACCCTCATGTCCTTCTCCAGCTGGACAAGCTATGAGCTGCCTCTAATTCCTCTATTTCAGGGGGATCATAGCAGGAAGGGTTTGGGATTCAGGTCTCTCCAGCTTTGCTGCACTGGATGGGTGCAGAGTGTCCCTGTGTAACGAGACAATAATCCTCAGTTTATATAATCAAGTCTCTGTGGCACTCAGCTCTCTTCCTTGATCCCAAAGAGGTCACAACATACCATGAGCATCACCTTGGGGTGCCACCTTGACCCAAGCTGCTGCTGGTGCTCACTGAGGAGAAAGGGCTCATGCCTTGGGGAGAACAAAACCAAATTTCCAGAGAGTTGGAGGGCCAGGTAGGCATGGCCTTGCAAGAACACTCCGCTCATTGCCCATGTGTGCACTCAGACAGGTGCACAGCCAGCCAGCAGGGCCATGCAGTGATGCTGGAAGGTCGTGTATGACCAATTCCTCCCAACGCGCCCAGGCAACGTCTCGCTGCGACGTGGCTGAGCCTGCTATGAGCATGGGCATGCGACCTGCTTCGCCCACGTCACCCACTAAGCCCAGAGCCTACCTTGCAGCAGGAGGAATGGGATCATCCAGAATAACTTCATGTTTCACTGTGCCGCTGGGATGGATCACACCCTCCCCCGTGTTTCTTCTGTGTGCAGATGCCTGGGAAAAAGGAAGAGCCAGAAGGTGAGGGGCAGCCTCCAGCGCCCTGTGCTGAGCCCTGGATGCTACACGAGGCTTGGAGGGCCTGGAAAGTCCTCCCAGGACACTGCTTGCTCTCTTGCACCTTCCCAACAACCCTCTTTGCTCCTCTGTGCCCAGACAACAGGGATTTTGGGAACAGTGACTATGCGGGGGTGCCTCCAAGGCAAAGGTGTCTCCATGCCTTAAGGAAGCACGAGCTCCTCCCTGACCTTCGCTCCCTCATTCCTCAGTGGCACCGGTCCAGCTTCCACAGCAGCTTGGCCCACCTCAATCTCCAGAGGGTCCTGCTCTGCGGGAGCCACCGCGAGGCTACAGGGCTCATGTGGGACACGATGGGACACGAGCCAGCGGCGCCGCTCCCGGCCTCCTCTGAACCCTCGCTCACCTCTTGGTGAATGACACCCGGGCACCCGCGTGTCCCTCAGATACGCTGGCCCCGCGGGCGATTAATTATTACACCCTGCGGCTGCTCGGAACTCCTGTTCACCCGGGTCCGCAGCGTGCGCTGGCACTGTATGGAACAATTCCCAGGCAATCGTGCTGACTCCTCAGCGGAGCGCTCGTCCTATCGGTTATAGACCTCACGATCGCTGCCGTTTCTCCCTCCCCTGCCCACACATCATTGATCTCGATGTCTTCACGATTCAAAGGTCACGTTTTTATAGCCCGCTGGGCACGCGGGCTGCCAAGGACTCTGGAATAATCCCCTGCCAGCACCTTGGATTGTGTCGCGGAGGATCCAGGGAAAGCTGCTCCGCACAGGTGAGTGCTCCAAGTACCCGAGAGCCCCGGCTGAGCTCTGCACATGGAAGGAGGAGGAAATGAAGTGTTGGTGCCAAGGAAAGCAGCTCGCAGGGCTGCTATGCCCTAATAAGTGCCACACGAGCATGTTAGATCCTGCCATGCCAGACTCCGGGCGAATCACTTGCTCAAATCGGAATATTTAACGTGCATGTTGCTCGTTTTCTCCCAAGGTGTTTCATAACCTGTGGACCACATCCTGGCATCTACACCATGCGCAGCAGGGATGCTGGAGGGTTGTTTAAAGTGTTTCACTGCTTCGTAAAGTTTTTAGTACCCCCAAACCTCCCCTGTGGCTTGGATGCTGGAACTGCTAACAGCCAGTAAGTAGCAGAGGGAATATTTTAGCTTGCATTAGCAGGAAATGTAGGTAAAGGGCTTTAGAAGAAATTCCTGCTTTTGTAAGGACCTTTTACATCTGCATCAAACTGCCCCATCCATTGGGACACCTTCTCATGGCTTCCCCTGCTTTCGGAGCAGGGCTGGGGACACCTCCGAGCTGCGGATGTCGGTCTCCAACCCTCTCGGAGCATCCCGGGCTCTTCTGAGGAGCTTCCCAATTTGGGTGCAACGTCGGTGCTTGAATTAGGACAAGCTTGAACATTTTAAGCCCATAGGGAAGGAAGTGGAAAGAACAAATGGGCCTGTATCTCTCTAGGAAGCGTTTTGCCCTCCCGTTATTTTGAGTTTATTTTGGTACCTGAACAATTTTGTTCTTTTTTTTTCTTTTTGTAAATGAGATTTCTGCATCAAAAGCTGCGAAATTTCCATGCTGTGTATGTCAGCAATTAAGAATCACTATCTAATGCTGTCCAAAACCCTCTTGCTTAACTACGATCTGTGGACTTCAGTGGCCTCTCGTGAAATCGTAACAAATTACAAAAAATGGCAACGTGACCACTTCGGTTGCCCATCGATCCCAACACCAAGAGGATGAAATTGCTCCTCGTGACTAGAGACCTTGGAGAAATGAGCACCATTGGGCAGCACGGCGGGGTCAGCGCCCGGGACGCGCGCGCTCTCTGCACCTGCAGCTTGCGCCAGAGCTGGGCAGCTACTGGGCACGCCGTTTTTTCCCATTTCATGCCATTTTTCAGCTAGGTTTAATGTTTTGGGTTGCTTATTGAGACAGATGTTGTCCTCACTCTGCAAACAGAAAATGTGAGAGCCTTTCTGTACTGACACAAGATGCAAACAAGAAGGGCTTCTGGAAAGCTCAGAAAAAAGCAGCCTGTGGTGAGCAGATCACAGCCCCTCGTCTCGTTATGCAGCATGAGACAACGCGCTTACGGTGTCCACATTTTTCTAAAACAGTCTTCTCTTGCCATCCAGACTCTCTGTCTGCTGCTTATCTTATCTTAACTGATCTTGTTAAAACGAGTACGTTATTCCAAA